CAACAACGTCCCCAGTCATCAAGGCACTGGAAGAAAGCTTTTGAGAATTTTTAATGTTTAGGGAAAGAGTGGCTGTTTATAAAAGGCAGTGACAGCAGTCATCTCAGGGCAAAAGCATTTGTGCTCAGCATGTGTTTATGAACTCAAATGGGCCCCCGGGGGCCCTGCTGTCTGTGCAGCTGTTTGAGGAGGAGAAAGGCATGAATGCTCTGCCTTTGAGAACTGGGGCAGCCAGTGGCTCAGCAGTGCTGCCCAGGGCCCCACGCAGGTGCCAGACTCTCAGGCTCAAATCGGAGGCCATTTGGTGTTTGGGGGTTATTGGGTTCAGAATATCTCTTCAATGTACAGGTTTGCCCTGGATCTCTATGTTTCTCTGGAAACTACCTTTGCTTGGCTAACGGCTTCAGTTAATTCTGGGTGAGTCTTACTTTAGTGTCATTCAAGTCCCAGTATGACTCCCACCCATGGAATCTGCCTCAACTGCTGCCCCAAAAATAAAACTTTCAGATTCAAAATTCCAGAGTGATCCCACTTCAAAGCACCAACCCATGGCCATGGCAGAGCAGAGGCATGCCCAGCCCTCGGGGGTGCCACCTCCAGGCTGTGGAGGGCTGAATTGTAGCTCCCTTCTCAGAATACTGGGGCATCCCAGCACCGTCTAGAAGCAAGTTCCCTGTAATACCTTCCTTATCGTGCTCTGACGCGCGTGGACTCCTCCCTCTGCTGGGCCTGGGTTTCCTCCAGTGTCTTGTACGGGGCACCCAAGGAGGCCTGTCCTGGGGCCTCTGCACAGCCACTACCCAGGGCTCAAAAACTTGACTGTGTGTGGACTCGCCCGCGGGTGTGTGTGGATGCCTGGTTGTGTGTTCTCCTCTGCTCGGCTCTGCTGGTGGGAGGAGCTCTTGCTTGAGGCCCTCCTGGCCCGCCAGCCCATCAACAGCAGGGCCTTGGGTTGGTGACCTTGTTGAGGGATGAATGCTTGCTCCTGACGCTGGAGGGCCTGGCTGCATCTTATCTGGAAGCTGTCAGATTGTGAAATAAGTGCAGCTGCTGGTAGGAAACAAACCAATTTGCTTTTCTTCGTCACTGTCTCCAGGTGGTGGGGCTGTGGTCACACCCTGACTGGTTCCATTAAACTGCCTTTGAATCATTCCTTCAGCTCCTGAGTGCAGCTGCGGCATGTGGCCGCCTCACCCACATGATCCCAGAGAAGCACAGTCCAGGGCTCCCGGCTCTGACAGGGCCTGGCTCTGGGCCTTTCCCCTGAGATGGTGACCCCTCTCTACCTCACCAATAGCTATTTGCCAGTGAGATGAGCTACATCCTTGCACCCACTAAGCTGGGCTGGGTGCCCAAAGCCATGGCAAAAGGCTTCAGTTAGGAATGATGACAATAGCTATTGGTTACAAATGACATAAAGACACATGCTTAATATAGAACCATAAAAGACCCTGAATAGCCAAAGCAATTCTGAAAAAGAAGAATAAATCTGGGGGAATTACATTCCCTGACTTCAAGCTCTACTACAAGGCCACAGTAATCAACACGATTTGGTACTGGCACAAGAACAGACCCATAGACCAATGGAACAGACTAGAGAGCCCAGATATAAACCCAACCATATATGGTCAATTAATATATGATAAAGGAGCCATGGATATACAATGGGAAAATGACAGCCTCTTCAACAGCTGGTGTTGGCAAAACTGGACAGCTACATGCAAGAGAATGAAACTGGATCACTGTCTAACTCCATACACAAAAGTAAACTCAAAGTAGATCAAGGACCTGAATGTAAGTCATGAAACCATAAAACTCTTAGAAGAAAACATAGGCAAAAATCTCTTGAATATAAACACGAGCAACTTTTTCCTGAACATATCTCCTCAGGCAAGGGAAATAAAATAAAAAATGAACCTATGGGACTACATCATGCTAAAAAGCTTCTGTACAGCAAAGGACACCATCAGCAGAACAAGAAGGGAGAATATATTTGTAAATGACATATCTGACAAGGGGTTAACATCACAAATATATAAAAAACTCACATGCCTCAACACCCAAAAAGTAAATGACCCTATTAAAAAATGGGCAGAGGACATGAACAGACACTTCTACAAAGAAGAAATTCAGATGGCCAACAGGCACATGAAAAGATGCTCCACATCACTAATTATCAGGGAAATGCAAATTAAAACCACAATGAGATATCACCTCACACCAGTTAGGATGGCCAACATAGAAAAGACAAGGAACAACAAATGCTGGTGAGGATGCAGAGAAAGGGGAACCCTCCTACACTGCTGGTGAGAATGTAAACTAGTTCAACCATTGTGGAAAGCAGTATGGAGGTTCCCCAAAAAACTCAAAATAGAAATACCACTTGACCCAGGAATTCCACTCCTAGAAATTTACCCTAAGAATGCAGGATCCCAGTTTCAAAAAGACATATGCACCCCTATGTTTATCACAGCACTATTTACAATAGCCAAGAAATGGAAGCGACCTAAGTGTCCATCAGTAGATGAATGGATAATGAAAAGGTGGTACATATACCCAATGGAATATTATTGAGCCATAAGAAGAAACAAATCCTACCATTTGCAACAACACGGAGGGAGCTAGAGGGTATTATGCTCAATGAAATAAGCCAGGTGGAGAAAGACAAGTACCAAATGATTTCACTCATTTGTGGAATATAAGAACAAAGCAAAAACTGAAGGAACAAAACAGCAGCAGACTCACGGAACCCAAGAATGGACTAACAGTTACCAAAGGGAAAGGGACTGAGGAGGGTGGGTGGGAAGGGAGGGATAAGGGGGAAAAATGGGCATTATGATTAGCAGACATAATGTAGGGGGGGCATTGGGAAGGGTGTACAACACAGAGAAGACAAGTAGTGATTCTACAGCATCTTGCTACACTGATGGACAGTGACTGTAATGGGGTATGTGGTGGGGACTTGATAATGGGGGAATCTAGTAAGCACAAGTTGCTCATGTGATTGTATATTAATGATACCAAAAAAAAAAAAAAGACCCAAAACAACAACAACAACAAAATGCATGCTTAGAACAGCAGAAAGAGAGACCCCTTCATTTAGTAAAACTTGAACCATCACTGTTGCACACAGAGTAACTGGGCTGCTGGTTAGTGGCTGTGGTTAGGACTGGCCTCAGTTTAGCAATAGTCTTACTGCCACCTTTGCTCAGACCTTCTGCTGACACATCCCTCAACGTACTACCATTCCTGGACACTCAGGCCATTTCCCCATGGTCAGGAAGGACCCAGGGCCTCTGCTCCCTGACCCAGCATGGGGTGGAGACGAGGAGGTTAACCCTCAGGAGCTGCCAGGACTCTCTGTCTCAGCATTTTTTGTAAAGAAGTCTCCTGGGTGAAGCCATGGACCAGCCCTGTGGACAGCGAACACTATCACTGGGCCTGGAGACTCAGAAACGCTGGGCCACATTTCTTGCTCCTAAGCTTTCCTGCCACTTTCTTGGCTTTGGATTTCCTCTTCGGACATCTTTGCATGCTGCCGTTCAGGGCAATCAAAATACCCTGTTTTTCTGAGGCCTCACCCTCTCAATACCTACTGAGATTCACACTTGAATCAATTACACCTTCAGGGCTCACAAAGTGCTAATATTCTAATTCTAACAATTCTTTACACATCTATTAGTTTGCATTCTAGATAGAGAAGAGCTTTTCCTCATCATTTGGAAAAAACTGCAATTCATTCCAAAAGGACAGGATAAAAGTTCAAATACTTGCTAAGTTCTTAATAACTAGATTTCCAATCCAACAATTATTCCATCATTGTTTGTATCACAAGTACAGTGGAGGTGGAGAGTTTAAAAATGAAGGATTTCGTGTTATAGCCACACTGGAATATTAAATAGCTGTTACAAATGATGGAATGCATGAAAAAAATAAGGGTGATACATTGTTAAGCAGCAAAGCAAGGAAGCAAGATGTTGGTATATATGTATCCACTCCTGGAAAGAACTCATGAACCTTCCACGTGGCTCCGAGAAGGCCCTGCCTGGGGCAGTTGCCCCTCCAAAGCCCGGCACCCTGCGCAGGACCAGGACCAGGGGCTCAGAGTTCCTGGGAGTTACTCCAACTCCCACACGGACGAGGAGGGGAGGCAGGTTGAGAGGACTATCCAGGGAGGGTTTCTTTTTAGAAAGCATCCTTAGAATGCTGCAGAGCGGAGGGAGATCCCCCCCAACCCGGCAAGAGGACTTTCAGGATCGAGTCCCAGGAGCCACAGGTGTGAGAGGTGACCACAGCCAAGTTTGTCACTGTCCCCTGCAAGGAGCTGGCCTGTGGGGCTGTGGGGCGGGGTGGGGGTGGGGGTGGGGGGAGGCAGCCCTTCTCACTGCAAAGGACACGGGAGCCTGGGCCAGGACCTCTGAGGATGGCCCAGCCTCCTCCGGCCAGAGAGCACCCACGGCGGGGCTGTTCAGCAGGTCCCACGGCCAGCCTGCCCTCTCCACCCCGCTGCCGCCACCAGCCCTGAGACCACCCAAGTGCAGGGAGACCTGGTAAGTGAGGGAGACTCTGTCGCGGGAAGGTCGGAGCTGGGCGCTGCCTACCGCCGACTAGGGAACAGGTGCTCAGGTGGCAGCCAGCATCAGGTCGCGAGTCCCCAGGACAGCACACCCGTATCTGGCCAGGCCACCCGTGGACGCTCGTGGCTCCACGCCGGCAGTGAGCAGAGAACCCAAACGGTGGCTCTCCCAGCACCTCCTCAGGTTAAAGAAGTGGGTGAGCAGCCATGCTTGCTCGCGAAGGGCTGGCACTTGGCGAGCCCTGCATGGGCCACGGAGCCAACCGGGGTGGCGCCTCCGCGCTTGCCCTCCTCGACCGGCTGCCGCACAGTGACAGGCGGAAGCCGCGAGGGCCCCTCCTGCCGTCGCCGTCCCGGGGCCAAAGCCTGTCTCCACTCGCCTCTCTCAGCTTCAGCTCAGCTCCTGGAAACGTGTAAATTGGAGTCTAGCAAGGGTTCCGGCACAGCCCAGCACCTGACAGTCCCCCCACGGACTTCATCCCGGGATTCTGGCCGCAGTCACGGGGGCAGAAGTAGCAGGAGGCAGAGCTCACCGCCCGCGGGGACCGCGGCTGGGGGGTGTCCGACCGCCAGCTCAGGTGACCGGGGCTGTCCCGCTAGCCCGCGGGGAGGCATCTGTGCCTGCGTGCAGGGGTGCTCAGTGACCAGAGCAGCTCTGGCCGCCATCCTGCAGGCCCCCTGGGCCCCCACAGCATCTGCTTGTGGAGGACTTAAACTTGAGCTTTTGGTTGGAGGCAGTTCTTCGTCATGTTTGCTCTTTAACGTAGAGGGAGGTACACAGTCAGCTGCTCCTGGCCTGACGCCTCAGTTTTCTTTCTTTTCTCACTCCCCTGTTCCTGCAGCCTACTTCCCCACACTCCGTCAGGAGCAAGGTGACTGCTGAGGTCTCCCTGAGGCCGGTCCTCAAGCCCTCTCCTCCGAAGCAGGCCACTGTAACTGACCCCACCCCTGTCACTGCTGCTTCCTGGCACATACTTTTCATGGGGAGCAGCCAAGTTGTCAGGCCCCCCCAGGGTCTCCTAAGCTGTCCCCCCACTGGGCTGTCTCTCTCTGTGAGTTGATATTTGAAGGGGTCTGGATTTCTCTCCAGTAGAAACTGGGCGGTTGGAGCATGGTCACTGCCCGCGGTGCACCAGGAACCTCGCGTGGAGTGGGCAGTATCTGTATGCGGCGTGGTCAAAGCCTCACCTGAAACACAAGCCCTGCACTTGCTGTAAGTGCTCACAGAACCATTGCTGTCCACACAGAGATGTTTCCATCACACGTGATGCCTGAGGAAGAGCTGGTACTCAGACACATGCTTTGGCTCCGTGTGCAGTGCTTTCACCCTAAAATATCTAACACGAAAGACTGAAAGGTGGAGAATATCCATTCAGGTGTGCGAGCTCAGGATCAATAACAGGTCTTGTGGGGCCAGAGGGGGCCACAGGGCAGTAGCGCCTTCTAGACAACAAATAAGAAGTGGGCCCAGTCCTGGTCCTGCCCTGGTTCCGGGGCCTCACCACGGAGGACAAAGGTTGGGGCAGTGGGATGAAGCCCAGAAATTGTAAAAGCTCTTTCCTAGATACAGGGTAACAAGGAAGTAGGGAGATTCATTTGCAGTTTTCTTGAAAATTGATGTTTGTGTTACGTGATTATAAGAAAATAAGTCCAGAACTCAAAACAACACATGTACCGTCCTCAGTGAGAGTTATGACTCACCTGAGGACAATTTGGAGAGAAAATCGGTTCTTTGGATACATGGGGAGTGCTTTCCCTTTAATTAGAGTAGATTCCTCTGATTGTGAGACACCCTCTGGCGAGATGACCCCCATACCCTCTGAGCCACAGCCCCTCCCTCAGTGCCCATATTTCCAGGGTATCAATTGAAGCGTGTTCTAACCTCAGCCTTTCCTGGACTCTGTTCCAGTGTCCAATGAATATTTTCCTGAACGTGCTGTGAAATTTGAAAAATGTCTGCTGGCCGCATCGTATGGAGGTCCTTAGTCTACAGCATTGACTTCAGGACACCAAACTATCTTTCAAAGAAGCACCTAGGGGGCCACCACCAGCTCCTGTATTTTCTTTGAGCCTCGCCCTGGTCTAGGCCACCGGTGGGTCCTGTCCCACTGGGCGGCAGAACATGGACACAGGTGCCTTGGTGCACAGAGCCCTTTCCACAGGGGAGCATCACCTTCCCCCAGCTTCTCACCTTCTGCAGGCTTAGCTGGGTTCCCTGCTTGGCCTGGTTACCTAACACAGCACATGCTTTCTACCCGCAGAGTTTTACTGACATCTCTTGGTGCTGCCCCTTCAAATGTCTTGACTGTCATTTTGGAATTTGGGCAGCAGAAGAGAGAAGCTCATACACTCCTGACTGGCTGTCCTCTGTGCTCAGACTCAGCCCACACGCAGATGCCTCCTCCCCATTCCGGGCCCTGCAGGTGGCTCCTCCTGCGGGACTGCACATGAAGCTCAGTTAATGGCAAGGTCCCCGTCCTCTGCGGCTTCTGCATGTGTTCAGTAAGCGAGCAAATAAAGGGAAGGGGTGCAATCAGAGGCCTCGGGCACTGGAGCCACACCCTCCCATGGCGTGAGGAGTCCGGAGGTGAGCACACAGCTTTAACGTCTATTGAGGTTTCATCATCAAAGCAGAGATTCGGCCTTTTTTGGTGATAGTGGTTGACCCTTAATCAACAACCAGCCATGAGAAAGCGCTACCTTATCACCCACCCACTCACGCTGCAGTCAGAGGGCTCAGGGCCTTCATGAGACCCCCACTGCTGCCTGGCCCTTCAGTCTCGGGACATACCTGGTTTCCGGTGACGCATTTGAACCTGATGACTTGTTCTGAATATTTTCTTTAAAAAAAAACATTTCCTCTAAAAATGTGAGAACAGTATTGTAGTATGTATTCATGTACTTATTTTGTCATTGGTGTGTACTTCAATTTTTAGAATTTAAAAATTTTCATTTATATTTTTAAAACCTTTAGAAAGTATTTTCATCAGCAAAACTTGGTTTATAACCAACCTTTCAGAGGCATCTATTTTTTTAAAGTAAAACATCCCCGTGTGCAAAACGTGTGTGTGTTCCCCTAGTGTTTCCGTACAGTGTCTGTACAGGTCTGAACACCATGACAAAGAAGCAGTGTCGTCTGTTTTCACCTAGGCAGCCACATTGCTCCTCCAATATTGCAGTCAAATAGAAAAAAAAACTGTAGAGGTCACAAAATAGAGTAGAAATACCTGGGACTGTAGTAAAAAGCCCAACATTCAAATGTGGGTTTGATCATAGTATGTGTGACATCAAGAAGTCTCTGAACTATTTGTCCCTGTGCTTTTCATCTGTGACATTAATTACGCAGTATTTGTATGACTTGCCTTTGTTGGGTAGTTACTGAGACCAAACAACATATCAGAAAAAATGTTTCAAGCTGTAACATTGTACAAATTATTTGATAACTCTGTGAAGGTAACCTAAGATTTTATCACTAATATGTTATCCTGACTGTAAAAACCAATTAAACCTTAAAATATTTAGTTTTGCAAATTATCCTAAAAGCACAAGTATACATTCATTCAGGGGACCCTAAGCCTCCAAGACTTACACAAATGCTGAGGAGCCCCCATTCTGTCCCCCTGGGGGTGCACATCCTCAGGAAAAAGCAGTGATTCCATTAAAATTCAGGAGTGTGCTGTGCACATTGGATACACAGTAGTTCCCACCACAGATCTGGTGGTGTCTTCAAAGCTGATTAAAATTAGTATATTCTCAGTAATATTGTTGGTGCACATTTATTTCACAGAAAATCGATTTGCAAGGTAAGCACCTAATTAATGGGCTTTCTGTTTGCAAAGCTGTGAGCAGAATGGGTCCCATCAGCCTGGGTGTGACTGGGTTGTGCCCCCAGTGGGTGCACCATGCCAACTGTTCTCTCTCTCCTCCTAGCCTGCCCTGGAGTCTGGGACAACATCACATGCTGGCCCCCAGCAGACCTAAGCGAGACCGTCACAGTGCCCTGTCCAAAAGTGTTCAGCAATTTCTACAGCAAACCAAGTACTGTCTATGTTGTTTCCGAGGGTGTGTGTCTGTCAGAAAGGGTCGGCTTCTCTGTGAAGGCAGCAGGCACCCGGAGCACCCGTTCACTTTGCTGAGCGAGTCAGGGAACGGCTGCCCTGTCACACACAGAGCTGGTTTCAGGAGCAGGATGAAAAGCTTCCTGCTGAACCATCCACCTTAAATCAAATGCAGGGCAGAGCAGGCCTCAGGGAGAGGCTGGGCCGGGCGCGTCCACTGTGCACCAGAAGCAGACAAAGGGGAGCCAAGAGCCAGCTGCCACAGGAGCTGAGCAGACCTTCCCTGGCATCCTGCCCCTTCAGGGCCCACAAGCCCTCAGCACTCCCCAGAGGTCCTGAGGCTGCCTGACGCATGGGCACAGCTTCACGCCCAGGAAGCCTTGTGGGGTCTCTGGTCTGGCTCCCCGCCTCTGAGCTCCCACCTGCTGCCCCAGCCCCTGGCCTCGGGGGCCTGCAGGCTGAGTCCCCAGAGCACCATGGGTGCTGGCCAGTAGGCAGGGCCTCCTCCTGTGGCTTGTGCTCTGCTACACAAGGCCCCACTTGCTCCAGAGAAGGCAGTTTTGTTTCATTGTGGTGTGTTGTAAACGGTCCTGATTTCCATAACATGACTAAATCTGCCTGTGAAAGTGGAAAAGAAGACCCATCTGGAAACTGGATGCACAATAATTTGGCGTGCAGAAGGCTCACATTCAGAGGGCAGGTGCCACAGGGGAGCCTGGAGAACTGGAGTTGTGGGCGTGCCTCCGACGACCGCAGGATAGATCTGGATGGAGGAAAAGTGATTCAGGAAAGAAAGATTTCTTTCATACCTGCGACTTGCAATGTAAGAACTGTCCTGAGTGAGTGAGTCAGCCAAGCGCCCAAAGACTGAGACCATGCCACGCCCACCACCACCATCTCTGTCAGGAAGACTAGTAAAAAGTGTCCCCCCACCCAGTTAATGCTACTCCCACTGAATGGGTTGGGCTGTCAGTATTCTGGAAATCCTAAAAGAATTGGCACAGACTTTGTATGGATGGTTTGATTCCCAAGGCTTCCAGAGAGCAGCCTGAGGTTCACATGCAGGCAGACATGAGCGCTCCCATTCCTGGGCATCTGCTGCTTCCAGCCCAGCCCTTGCCAGACAGGAGCCCCCTGGGCACGCAGCTTCCAGGACAAGCTAGAGTCTGATTCAACTCTGAATCACTGTGCAGCCTCTCCTCTGGAGAATGAAAACTCCAGTCTGTTTCAGGTTAAGTGCTTTGTGCTCTCTGTCTAGAACCGTCTTGCAGCTGTGGGGAACATCTCTACTGCAAGAAAGTCGGCCAGAGTTCCTGCATCTGGATGCCACAGCTAGTTATCTGAAATATATATGCCTCCATGTTTTTAACTGGGCACAAAAATATGAACCACACAGCTGCTTACACAACTGTGGACAACTTGCCATCCACGTGGGTGTGTAAGAGTCCCAGAGCTCACAGAGGCAGAGACATAATCTGCAGCTGGGGCCGAGGAGGGCTGGGTGGGGGCCCATGGGCATAGACAACAGTGGGCTGAGGCCCCAAAGATGAACCTCGGCAGGGGTAAATGGGAGGTCTTGACACAAAATTAAGAACCAGTGGTGCTTGAATCTGTATGGCACCTTTCAGTTTATAGAAAGCTTTCAAAAAGCTGAAAGTGGCTTCTTGCCATGGCCTGAGAAATGGATCTGTGTGTTTTCTGGGAAGTAATTTTCTCTCTGAAGTTCTCATCCCACCAGCGGGTAGGAAACTGGGGAGCTCTCCAGGTAGCCATGTGTGCTGTCATGGCAGCCAGCACCTTGCTGTGAGCTCTCCGCCTGCAGGGTGAACCCAGGGTCATGCAGGCCCCTCTGCATCATCCGTGGGGGCAGAAGGGAGGCGGGGAGCAGTGTGTGCTCCATGGAGGAGCCTTTAAAAGGGAGGCAGGAAACAACCAAGCAGGACAGCGTGGCTTTGAGGACATGGGAGATTTACCCTGGGGAACTGGAACCTTAGGACACTGCACTCCAAGTATGGGGGCCCTCCACATCGGGGAGAGGGCCAACATGCTGCAGGAAGCCAGGACAGCTCGACAACAAAAGGGTCAGGAGCAGTGCCCGTGACAGCAGCCCAGCTGTGGCCCCAGGGACACCAGAATCACCTGATTACAATAGGAGCTTCCGACAGCTGCAGGCCATGCCCAGTGCATCGTCTGAGGTGCAGGCTCAGGACCTCAGGCTGCTGTCCTTGGAGAGCAGTGACTCCCCAACAGAGCCTGGGGGGCAGTGGGGCATGCCTGCCCCCAGCCCAGACTGAGCCCAGCTGGAGGCTCCAAGACACCACACTGAATGGGCAAAGGATGGGGCTTGTAACCACCTGGGGAGCAGGCATCTCAGGCACCTGTCACCCCGTGCTGAGGACACACGGGCACCACCGCTGACCTTAGGGCCACAGCTCTGGAAGGTCAGAAAACAGTGGGGGGTCTCCACAAAGTTGGGGAAGGACCTGCAGAATAGATAGGCCCCCAGGTAACGAAGGCCCCATGGAGTCAGGGTTGGGGAGAGACTCACTCAGAGGGTAGAGAGGGGTCCCACTCTCCTGAGTCCTAAAGTTGTGGCCTCCCCCACGTCCTCCCAGACCCCCCAGCTCCCAGAGGCCCTCCCACCTTCCTGACCCGCTCTCACTGCCCTGGCCCTCTCCTTTGCTGCCTCACACATTTCTAGGAAGCTCACCTCCTCCTCTGCCTTCAGGGATATCCAGGGGTGTGAAGCCAGATGGGATGAAGAACTGGGGAAGCTGGGCTTCACAGGATGAAGCCCATTGAAGTGTCTTCTTCAGACTCGTGTTTGGATGTATTCATGAGGTCTGCCTGCCCAGCACCCGCTCCAGCCAGTTCACAGAGCTCAGGGTTCAGGCAGATGAGGAGCCCACTGCCAGGGACTGAGATGAGCTCTCGCTCGTCAGCCGTGTGACGCGGGCAAGAGGCCCAACCTCTCCCAGCCTCGGGTTTGCTGTCCATAAAGTGAGGTCACCTGCAGGGCCAGGACTCCATGAGTGGTGCAAATAGGGAGCCCCCCCCGCCGGATACGGGGGCTTGGGGGGGATGTGCCACGCTGTCATCTTGTTCCTGATGCTGGTCTGTGGACCTCGTGCTACCTGCCTCTAACATGAGCAGCAAGGACCCACTCTTCAGGGATCTGTGCTGCCTCCCCTGTGTGCTGCAGTCTCTGAGCTACTCCTTGGCCCCTGTGTCCCTCTGGGCGCTGGTGCAGGAGGGGCTCTGGGCCTTGAGCTGGATAAACCCTCGGGGTGACAGTGTTGAAGAGGAACAGGCAGGGCCAGGCCGTGGGGCCCTGGGTGCTGCTGAGACCACGTCACCCCACCTCCTGTCCTGAAGGCGCGCTTTTCAAGCCAGGATGTGCTCGTGCGGCCGACCTCTCCACAGGAGCAGGCTTTGCTCTGGGTTTTGCCTGATGACTCCATGAGCAAGTGAACAGGCAGCCTGCGTGATGCAGAGGAAATAGGGATTTCTGAGTCAAAAAACCTGTCCTACTGCTCGGCTGATACAGAACCACGGGCATCACTGAGCCCCAGAGCTTGTTTCCCGCCTGCACAACAAGGACAGTAATGCTACAGAAAAGACCATGTTGTGGGCGCACATGCCGTTCCGCAAGCCCCGGCTTATGGGGCAGGGATGCTAACCACAGGGAGCTTCTCCCTGGTCTGAGACCCCCAAGCCCACCCCAGATGTGGCCCAGGCCCCCAGGCCCACGTGTATTTCACCCATGACCACCCGGCCCTCTACGTGGTCACCGTCCTGCCATGCTCAGGTAAGTAGGGGAACATCTGTTCTTCGGCTTCACAAAGGGCTTGGATTAGTTAGGGGCAACTTTTGATGGTAAGACCAGAACTGACTTTATTACATGCAGCTCACATCTAACCTCCACAATGTTCTCCCACAGCACTAGCGACCCAGTGGTGCCTGCCCCATGCACTCTAAGGCTACTGGCTCTGAGGTCCCCTGCCCGGCCTCGGCCTGCAGCCCCTCACACTTCACCACAGAGCAAACGGTCCAACTTTTCTTCTAGGAAACATAAGCAAGAACTGCACAAGTGATGGGTGGTCGGAGATATTTCTAGATTTCATAGATGCATGCGGCTTCCATGACCCTGAAGATGAGAGCAAGGTAAGGGCTGGCACGCCGCCCGAACTTCCGCCTGTGCGCTGAGCGGCCCTGCGGGTTTATTCGGGCTCGCCTCTGGGGCCAGGGCTACTATTCAGTGGCCAGAAAGGCCACACCCGTTTCAGGTCTGCTGCCTGGCCTCCAGGAGTTCCTGATGTTTCCATGGTTTTGGAGGCAGGAAAGGCTTTCTCCTCACCTGCTGTCCAGGCCTCTCCTGCTGAAGTGAGCTTTAATGAGCTCCCTTCCTGCCGGGGTGTTTCTCCATCCCTGGTAGGGTTTTGCTACAAGATGGGCTGTCGAGAAGCTGCATGGTAGTTTCCTCGGTCCTGAGGCGGCAGCAGGAGACGGGACCAGCTGGAGCATCTTTGCAAATCTGGAAGTGGAGTGTGCCTGGCTGGCAGTACCCAGGCCCAGGCTGGCTGCCAGTGACTCATTGCAGGCCACGCTGGGGACTTGGCCTGCACTGGCGTGGCCCCTCAAGGGCTCTGTCTGCTGGTGCAGTTTAAGGAGGCTGTGGAGGGTGTGGTGGTGAGCCATTTGTCCAAGAGCCCAGTCATTTAAATGATGCATCCACTGCAGCTCTGCTAAACTCTGCCCCAGCCTGTCTGTATACTTACTCAGCTGTAGCCTGCATTGTTGATCTTTCCTGCACACTTACCCCAATAACTGTGGTTTTATTATGTTTCAACCAGCAAACCAGAACACTGCCTTCCCTTGAGCTGCATTTGTTTACCCCACAGCGCTGTGTGGAACATGGGCACCTCATACACCTGAGGATGGGGTGCACTTCAAACATGTGTTCCCCAAGTGTACATTGTGTGGGATGTACATGAGGCCCTTTAAAGAACCTCAGGGAATCTTAGGTACCCACCCACCCTGGATCCTACTGCCCCTGGATCCCACTGTCCCTGGGTCCCTCGGTCCCTGGGTCCCTCCGTCCTGCCACCTAATGAGACCGTCAGTGATGCTGACGTGGGACCAGTTCTCCCCAGGCCTGACCCACCGTCCCGTGCTCCTGCTCTCCAAAGGGCTGACCTTGCTCTCCTCACTAAGGGTTATCATTTAAAGTCAGTTCTTTTCCCACCAAGTTATTAAACTGCAGAAAAGGAAGTACCATACATTTTAGCCAATATCCTAATTGGAAGCTAAGACCCCTGACCTCTGGCCAAGAATCAGTGAAGATGATGGTGGTGGTGTGGCCTACATTGCTGATCAGTTACCGATATTATAGATTAATTACCCATGTCATCTCAAGTGGTCTTGTTCTGTTGCGGTCTGATTGCCAGCATTGCATATATGTAAGGAACACAGTGTGATGTTTTTACACATATACACTTAACACTGTGAAAAGACTCCCTCAATCAAACTAATTATCAGTCATCTCGTATTCATCAAATACACTCACCTTTTTCTGGTGAGACATAGAACTTAGCTTATACCTGAAAGCATGTACTTTGACCAATGTCACATATTTCCCCACCCCCTGTCTCATTTAATCTTAGTAACAACCCACTTTACAGACAGAAACTAAGGTTTAGAGAAATGGCGTGACCGGTCAGAGGCCCCAGGCTGGTGAACAGAGCTGTGGCTGGTCCTCCTCTGACCACTCGTTCCCCCCACTGTAGTCGTGGCAGTAATGGGTGTGGGACGTAGCTGGGCAGGTGGCCAGGCCTGGGGTCCATGCTGATGCCTCCCGGGAAATATGGAGCTGCCATCCTGACAGTCCTTCCAGGCAGTTGGGACAGAGCCAGGCTGATCGCTGGGACCTGGGCCTGGGCACACAGCGCATGCCAGGCTGCTGTGTCTAGAGCCCGTCGAGCGAGGTTTGGGTGGTAAGACAGTTCCAACGCTCCAGATGGGGGCATCTGGTCAGACTCTGGGCTGTGGGAGGTGAGTCCTCAGACCTCATCAGACACGCAGTTCTGCTGGCAGACTCCTAGGAAAGGGAATTTCTTTTTAAGCCTTGCAGTGTGAGTATCACAGGATCCAAACCTTCTTTGCTCACTGCTGTTTCCGTTATGCATAATCATGGAAACTAGTTTTTCTGGGTTGAATATGTCAACCTTCTCGCTTGGCACTAAGTTGTCTTTGTCGCAAGCAGAGGCTGTGGGAGGCACCTGCGGCCTGTATGCACCTGGGCCTCCGGAATTTATAGGAACAGCATGGGAATTTGTGCAGCTAGAGTCCACTCCACACGTCCCAAAAGACACCAGCTGTGATTCACCACCCTTGGCCAAGCGTTGAACCAGAGGACCTTAGATCAGCAGAAGAGCTCCTAGCACTTCACTGAAACGTGACACATTTAGGACCGAAGGCCGTGGAAATGCCCTACCAACCGCCCCTCCTCCCCACCCATTCTCCAGCCTCCTGACCCTTCCCACTGTGACTGCCTTCTCCCTGTAGCCGTCTCATCTGGCTCCAGTGGAACATAACCCGCTGTGTTTGACACACCCCTCGGGCTGTCCTGTGCTCTGGGTTGGAGCTTGGCCCATGGGCGTTCTGTATTTACTGCACCCCGCAGGTAAGGCCCCACCCGGAGGGGAGGCTGCTGAGTCTCCTTTGGGCAATAAATGCCGGTGTTGGACAGCCCTCAACAGTGGGACCTACAGCTCGCAGACATACATTTAACTTCCCTAACCCATCCCAGCTACAAGGTGGGGGATAAATTCCCCCGCTTCATGTTGTTGCTGTAAACCCAGTGCACAGCCCAAAATCAGAGACCTATTCAGCCAGTCTGAATTCAGAACATGTTTCGTTGGAAGATACGAGAGTGTTCCAAGCCCCAGGCTGGCCCCAAACTGTGGGTGAGCTCTTTAATATGGCTTTGTAAGAATAAGACTCTAACTATATAGAACCAGCCCCAGATATACTTCTGAGGCTTCAGGACACGGGTATGGGGTGGAAAGTACAGCGTGCTGAGGCCTCACCAGCAGCATTTACCTGGAGATGGGCTCTGGTCCCCAAAAGGGGCAGGCCAATTCATCCCAAGATGACCATGCCTTGGAGGTCCCACTGCTCTGACTGACCTTGGGTTACAAAGGCCCAGTGGGGTCTGACAGGGCCGCGATGGATGTGGGAGGGGCACCTAGGGCCAGCGGCCAACACGTCAGTGCTGACACACTTCGGGAGTCACACCCGACTGCTTCTCCTTCTCCCTGGATTCCCCTGGTCATGCTGTAGGGGACCTTCCAGGAGACCTGGAGACCCTAATGGGCCCACTTGGTGCTTGGAAAGGCCTGTGACCAAATCCAGCCTGTGGGAGGCACAGAGTGTCAGTAATTTTCTGATGCTTTTTGTCCAGCTTGAGGCTTGTTCTTCTTAATTAAACATTTCAGAGATTCTGCAGAGATCAGGACAGCATATTCCCTGCTAACAGATTAAAAAGTCAAAGTATTTGCATGTGTGAAAGCTTGGAAATGATGGCCCAGAACCAAAGCAGGAGGCTCCCCTCTCTGGCTGCAGCTTCCGCTGTCTGAATATTTGAACACTTGGTCACTCAGGGAATCAGTTCAAAGATGAAGACCCCCTGCCAGCTGTCCCTGCACCCTGGGCTGAGGGGAGGGATGCAGCCTGGTGAAGATGGGGCTCCCCACTTCCTCTCCGTACCATCTCATTGGCCCTCACTCTTCCCAGTTTTGCTGAGATTTTTTGACTGGATTTCCTGCTCTCACGTGGCCAAGCATGCCTGGGTGTTGTGTGTGATCTTTGTTTCACAGTTAATTAAATTCAGTAAAAAAATCAGCCTCCACTAAAGCTGCAGGCTTGCTGCATCGGGTGAGGAAACTGAAGATGCAGTCAAGTGAGGAGGGGGAGTGGCTGAAGGAGACCCGAGGGCCTCCCAGCCAGGGGGGAGCTGATGCCCAAAGCTGCTTCTCCCCGAAGGAGACCCCAGGAGGCCGGGGAGTCATAAGGGCTGGGGTGGCGCCTGGCCCTTGATTCTCTGGGTCTTACAAGTCACAGTGAAGCCCTGAAGCCCGCCGGGCTGGCCTCAGGACCCTGTCATCACACCCGGCTTCCCAGTCCTGTCCCTCTGGCCAAACCCACCTGCAGGTGTGCGTGCCCTGGCTGAGGAGCACTGCATCTTAGGCCTTTTACCTTTTAATCGCTGCATAAAGGGTTAATCCCATTATGAGGATTTAAGGGCCCCTCATCCCCCAGGCCCGGGGGACCCCACAGCCACCCTAGCTCCTCTGCCCCCAGGTCCCAGCCTGCTGAGGCTACAGGGAAGGCAGGCCAGATGGAGACCATGAGACTCTCTCAGCTGCCTCCACCCCTACATGGGAGCGTGGGGGTGCCCTACACCGAAGAGGTTGCCCTGGCATCATGTTCTCAGCCTCAGCAGGACAGCCCAGTACTGGTCCTTCCCCCTACCAGCTGATCCCCAGACCTGGGGCTCCCCGGACAGAGCTCCCCGCCACAGCCCATCAGGTGGACCCTGGTCACCTGATATTTTTCTGCATCAAAGGCTGTCTCGAGGCTCCAGGTGAGGGCAGTGTGTTGGCCGGGCTCCCTGCCCTAGTCCCCACCTGCTGCCCAGTGTCCCCACCTGTCTGGTTTCCCAGGGATGCTGGGAGTGGGTGAAACATGAAAATGCCTAGAAATTTAGCTGCCAGGATGAGTTCTGTGGGACCTGGTGGTGTGCTTTCT